TTTCTGAAATAGTACTAGAAATTCCAGTTAGCGGCTTTTTTTTTTTTTTTTGCTTATATAAAATTCTATTTCTTGATTCTTCCATTTCTGTTAGGTCATGTTTTTCACTTATTTATATTGACTTTTCTTGTCTCAGACTACCCCCAAGTATAGTACTTGGCTTTCCTTTTCATATTTGCATGAAATAGCAGACAGGCGGAATGGTAGCCGTGCATATAGCAGGGATTGCCATGCCAGCTGTGTAGCCAAAGCTCTGGCCAGAATGAGAAAAGATGTGCTCCAACATAGTGGTATCTCACAATTGCTGTCTCCTCTCACAGTTCCTCAGCTGCTTTTAAGAACAAACCCTTAATCTGGGTATGGAAGGTTGTTCTTGCACAAAGGTACTTCCAAGTTCAGCAGAGAGTAGAAGAACCCCATTCCACATGCAGAGCTCCCATCAGGCCTGTTTTTAGCCTGTGGTCTCCTTTCTTCTGTGTGTTTATTGGCCACTTCTTCAGTCACCATCTGCAGTGTATTCAGCCAGGCTGGCTGACTTTCTCTTCAGTTGTAGTCCACCTGGATATATCCTGGTCTTCCTTAATTTTTTGCTCATTTTCTGTGGTCCATACTCTTCTAATTATTTTCCATTTTTAGAAATGAATAAAATTACTCATTCCCTGTTGCCTCTTAAATCAGAATTTTTCTCTATGCCATTTTTCTTTATACTTTAAAAATTAGTCATAAACAAAGATTGAATTCTTGGCATAGGAAAATGCAGTAACTCAATAACCTTGCTTTTCTTATAATTCAGGCTTTACAGTATGTAAGACTATAACCTTTCTTGGTTTGATTTGTACCCCTTTTTTTAGATGCAAATTAGCTGAACTTCCCTTGTTGAATATACTTTAAAACTCTTAATTTACCTTGAATTCATTTCATTTCTTCCCATTTTTAATTTATTTTACAGTATTTTTCTCATCTTCCATTTCATTATTTTTGTTTGGGGCTTGCTTTTTTCTTTCTTTTTATCTGACATGCTTCTTTATCTACATTTATGTCAGTCTTTTCAAGAATTTTAAGTAAATTTTACAGCTTGCTTCAAAAAGTTGTAATTTTAACCAAATAATCTTTCAGGCCTCAACACTTTATTTAAGCAAATGAAGAGAGTCTTGGGCCAGATTATTTCTTAGATCTTTTTTCTGCCTTGAGAAAAATAAATTCATCATACTGGTTCTGTGGTTCTATTTTTCATCATTTTGGCCATCTTTCTCTTTGTTTCTTAAAATTTTTTCTTCTCACTGCCTTACTTTCTCTTTTTTGTTGCAAACTCTCCAATATAACTGTTGGTTTTATCCCAACAGTAATATTTTTTCCAGTCTTTGTGTTTTCCTTTTACTTATTCTTTTATTCCTGTGGCAATTAAAACTATCTTTAGATTGCAATATTAAAGTACCACTAAAAAATGAGAGAAGCCACCTTGGTTTAAAAAAAAAAAAAAAAAGGTTCACTTTCCTAAAAAAAAGGATGTGTTGCTATAGCAGAAGAACTTATAGACCAAAACAACAGAAGTGTTTTTAAATATTTTATCATTTGTTTTCTGAGTCATTTTTTTTATTTTGCTTTCTTATTTTTTTTTATTTTATCTAAACAGAGAACGGACATTCTTTGAAGTCTAATCATGATCACTACAGATGAACCCAATGTACCAACTTCCCAACAGTCTATAGAGTATTAGAAGATTTTTACATTTTGAAGAAGGAGAGCAAATCTTTTTTAAAAAAATTCATTAAACTATTGATAACTAATATATGGTGGATTATATTTCATTTAGAATTTAAAATAGATGTGTAACTCTGGGTCTCATAGGTTTGAATTCATTTCAGTTTGAATGTATGATTAATTTTCAGGTCATCTGGTTTTTAAAAAATAATATTCATGATTTCTGGCTTTTGATTTATCAATTTACTGGTCATAAGATTCTAAATGACTGTTGCTGTCATAACATACCTACTAGATATTATCAAATACCTAATAGGTAATCCTGTAATGAGGTGAACTGCAACTTCTGGCACACATCTTTGCAAACACAATGACTCCATCTCATTCAGAATGCAGTGAAAGTATTTAGTTTATATTTTTATGTCAAAAATTTTCTCTGAGATTCCTTAATAGACACTTGAGACTATAAATTGACCCATTTGGGTTTCTTTTTGAATGCCTTGTAGCTTGGATGTGTCTAACTTTGGTCAATCTGGGAATTTCAGTTGTCAATAGTTTTGAAAATGACTTCAGTGCTAACTTTCATTTCAATTCAAAGAAAGCCAGAATTTGTAGTTCATGCTAGTCACAGAATGGTGGAAATTAACAGTTCACATCAGGATAACCCTACATGCTCAGGTCACATTCCCCAGATCAGAAAAGAACAACCTCCAGTCCAGCCGCCTTGTGCAATTCTTGCCTAAATTTAATTTATTTCCACTGAACCATCCAAGACTTCTGGCAGTCAGGGAAGTGTGCAGTGATGAAAGGAAGGGAGTCTCTTTGGAACTTTTACAGATAGTTCATGGTGAGGACATAATTTTTCTTCCGAAAAAATAAGAGCACTTGCAACTTCTGTGAAATTAGCATGCTAAGTGTGCTTACAAACTAAACCAAAGTGTCGAGTGATGAATCCAAATAATATTCAAATTTAGGATATCTATGGGTAACTTAGATTTTATTCATAGTTTTATATGGATGTCTTTAAAAAACTAACAAACAGGAAGAATGTGTCTCTTTTCTTCCCTCCATTGACTATTAACAGATGTCATTGGAATGTGAAATCTAAGTGTGAAATTATGAAAGGATATCCTTTAATCCTTACCAGCTGAACATATATTTAACATATGCCTGGATTGTTCTAGAATCTCAAAAAAAAAAGATACATATGGTGAAATAGTTTTCTATTTTTATTTTTATTTTTTGGTACCAGGAATTTAACCCAAGGGTGTTTTACACTGAACCATATCCCTAGGCCCATTTTTTATTTTTTGTTTTGAGACAGGATCTTGCTAAGTTGCTTAGGGCCTCGTTAAGTTGCTGAGTCTGACTTTGAAGTTGAGATCCTCCTGCTTCAGCCTCTCAAGCCACTGGGATTACAGCATGTGCCACTCTGTCTGGTGCAAAATAGTTTTTTAAACAAACATACTTTTAATGAAGTTTTGATGACGTTTGTGGCCCATTGATAAAATAATATTTCAATAGTATATGAGTATGTAATTTCTTGGTATTAGTGTCTTCCACCTAAATTCATTTTAAGACACATGCAATTTTTGGTTTCAATAATTAGTTGCCCATTATGAAGTTTTAGGGAACATAAAATATGTCAGATAGGTTGTTTGAAGAACACATGTGAATTTTCATCCTATTTGTACATTTTTTTTTGGTTTTCTTATTCATTGCATCTAATTATTTGGTGATGTTAATTTCTAAATTTGTTTAAATTTTAAAACAGTTCAATGCTTATGTGTAGTAGAAGCCTTAAAAAAAAATGACCAAGCAAATATTGGAAGATAATCAGAAACCTATAGATTTATGTTAGAAGAAAAATAGGCATAGGAATAGTTTTCTCTTCCTATATTAAGTTGGTAGCATAATAGAGTTGTATTGACATAGTATTTGTCCTTATGTAGTATTTTAATACATGTGTAAGTCTATTCCATTATTATTATATTTAGTGTTTGGTATATTTATTCCTTTATGGTTTTAATAAGATTTGGAAACTGTACTAAATAAAGTGCATTTTTGTATGGAATATACTTGCCATTCAGAACAGCTGAGGATACCATTGTCCCAGGCAACCAAAAACTGAATTCATTCTATTAGTTTAAAAATTGTGAAAAAAGTTAAATTACATGTATGATATATAAATTGAACACATGTTCTGTAGCACTAAATTTAGTTGTGTTAGTTTTTTGATATGATGCATCCACAGTATTTTTTATTTTGCATTTATTTTTCATTGTGTTTATATTGTATGAATTGAGCTTTGTGCATACAGATTCTTGATTTGTGGCTGCTTGGCAAGATTTTTGTTGTGATGTAACCATCATTCTTATAAAAAATATGATGTACATTTGTCTTGTGTATTTGTCTTCATTCCATATGTCTGTGTATATTTTATATGAAATTATGTATAAAGAATAGAAATTCACAAGTCTGTTACCATCTCTCACCATCATTGTTTTTAACAAATAGGCAATATTAGTTCTTATTTTTATATAACCTCAAGCAGCATCTCAATATAAGGCAGATATGTTCTTAAATAGTTGTTCATGATTATTTTACCTCTGTACCATATCTTATGTCATAAAATAGTTCTTTTAAGTATCTTTAAAAAAATTTTTTTAGTTGTAGTTGGACAAATACCTTTATTTTGTTTATTTATTTTTATGTGGTATTGAGGATCAAACCCAGGTCACCGCACATGCTATGCAAGCGCTCCACCGCTGAGCCACAACCTCAGCCCCTCTTTTAAGTATCTTTAGACAAGTTGTTTTGTTCATTTTATTTTATTTCAATCTTTTTTTTTTCCTTTGGGGGACTTAAATTTCAGTTTGTTGAAATATAATTTACTGTAAAACACAAGAAATTCTTCAGCAGATAGTATTTTATAATTATAGTCATCTTTCTAAATTGAAAGCTAAGCACTTGCAGACACTATTTTATTTAATTCTAGGCATATCACAACAAAGCAAATGTTAAACTCATTTTACAGGTGAAGATACTGAAAGGCAAAGAGGATGGTGTGGTTCACAGAATCAAAAGAACTCTAGCCTAAGTCTGTCCTGTCCTGCTTTTAAACACTTAAAGCTGACTCTCCTTTATGATTTTTGATGTATATTTAGTTTCAAAGTAGTTCATTTGGGGGTTGACTTATGTCCATCATTATTAACCTTATACACTTGGATTTCTGCAAGCATGGCATAATGAAAAAAAATTTAATATAATTGAGCATTAAAATGTGTCTTTTCTTTTAGCCTGAAACCTTTGAGCATCTTTTTACCAAGCATGCAGAATCAGTGACATTTGGTCCTCTTCTTTTGGAGCCTGAAACCATTTCAGAAGACATCAGTGTTGATACACCATGGAAAAATAAAGATGAGATGGTGCCAGCAACTATGGTCTCACTGCTTTTGACAGCTGAAGATCTTGAGCAGGATTCTGCCTGTATTAGTGACCAGGGCAACAGCCTTCACATCTCTGAGGCTGGGAGCATCCCGGCTGTCTGTGAGGACGAAAGCCAGAGACAACCCTCAGTTAAATACGCCACACTGGTCAGTAATTCCAAGTCAAGCGAAACGGATGAAGAGCAGGGGCTCATACATAGTTCAGTCAGCAAGTGCTTCTCTAGCAAACGTTCTCCATCAAAACATTCTTTCTCTAATAGCTCCTGGGAGATAGAGACCCAGGCATTTTTCATATTATCAGAGCGGCATCCCAATATGATTTCACCACACCTTTCGTTCTCAGAAGGACTGGATGAACTTTTGGAACTGGAGGGAAAGTTCCCTGAAGAAAATAATAGTGAAAAGTCTGTCTATTATTTAGGGGTCACCTCAATCAAAAAAAGAGAAAGTGATGAGTCAGGAGTATTATGCCCATTTCCAGCACACTGTTTAGTCACCGACATCAGAATCCTCCAGGACACTTGTTCCCACTTTGTAGAGAACAACTTCAACTTAGGAACTTCTGGCAAGAAGACTTTTGTATCTTACATGCCCCAGTTTCAAACTTGTTCCACTCAGACACATAAGATTATGGAAAACAAGATGTGTGACCTAACTGTGTGATTCCATTCAAGAAACCTTCAGAATTGTATTATAGTGGATCACGTGGCCTATAATATATCGCTTTACTGTTGTAAATGGGGGAACACCAGAGAAAATCATTAGAGTCAAATATGAAAATGATTCCAAAATTAATGATATCTGTTTTTCCTCTCTAATATAGACCCCCAAAAGGTGAGAAAACCCTCATGAGCCTAGCCATGCAAATAGACACTACAAATAATTCTATTCACAGGCCACCGTGGGAAGGTCTCTTGTTGTTAGCTATGAACAAGCCCAGCAGGTACCATCTTTTGTGAATATTAGACCTGTGTAGAAAGAAAAACAGTGTTCTGTATCACACCACCATCTGAAGGAAGGCTTTTCACCAATATTTGTAAGATACAGATGTTGTTTCAAGGGTGTGTTTGCTTTACTTTCAGTTGCTTTTGTTTTGCACTAATTCCCTTACACACACACACACACACACACATACATTTATACTTAATAGTTATGGATTTTGAAAGTATGTGATGTGTTTGTATTTTGTGCTACCAAAGTGTGTGATTTAAAGTAGGCATATCATTAAATGTTGAACATAAGTAGAGACTTTAGCTCTGGTCTGAGGGGTTATACTTGTGAAGACTAACAAATTAGCCAAATGTTATGCACTAAATTTAAGTTACACAGCTTAGAATGAAATCATCTGTTAGAATGGCAGGACCCACAGCCAGTGTTTTGATAATAGCACAAGTAGTTTTTAAAACAATGTCTGTTAAAACTCCTCTCTTTGAAATATAACTAACTACATGGCCAGTGTCATTCTGCACCACTCTGGAGTCAATGTGTTTCCCCAGCCCCACTCACATGGACACCATTTTTTTCCCTCCCTCAGATTCTCTCTATACACTAGTCACAGTACAAATACTTTACATACTTCAACTCAATTACTGCAATAATTGTATGAGATGTGTTGCTATACTTCTTTTAAAGATTAAGAGATTAAATAATTTGCGCAAGGTCACAGCGTTAATGGGTGATGGAACCAGAATTCAGATTTACATCATCGATAACTTATCAATGCTAGTAATTGTGTTTTTAAAGAACAACTGAATTGCAATCAAATAGAATCTATTAAGAATTTCTGATTGAAAAATTATGTGAGGTTTGCACAGATCTCACCCTTGACTTTAAGATTAATACAGAAGGTTATTATTTGAGCTTTTGATATGGCAAGAGAATTCGAAGCCCAGCATAGTGGACAACAATCTAGGTTAAGAAACTTGCACATTTCGTTGTTTCATGGCAAGAAATAAGAAGTTCAAGATTATCGATTTCATCAAAATAAATATTATTTAAAATACATCTGTGAGTTGCTAAACATCATCAGAGTTTTCTACTTAAACTTAGGATTCTGTTGATTTTACTATTACTCTAAGTAAATCCTTACATTCCTTCTCTATTTATGATACAAGCAAAGTTTCATAAATAATAATAAACATCATAAACAATGACAAAGATCCCAGACTCCTTTTAAAAGATATTGTTTTCACACTTCATAGTAATTTGCCACTCAGAAATCAATAAGTTAGTTTCATGTTATAAATATTATTAAGATGTCTCAGGATCTCATACTCAACAGATGAGCCTCTTATAAAAAAATGGTAGAGCACCCATACCAACTCACTTATTCGTGTGAGAAAACCTTAATTCTATACAAAGACAAATGAAGAAGATAGTTTTTTCACTGATTTTTAAGACACTTTAGAGATTCAGAAATAAGTGATATGCATGGAAATTTTGGTAAAACTGACTTATTTTTAATACATGCTTACAAAATATAGACATTTAATTGAAGGTATGTTATGGAAGAGATGGGAAATTAAATTTTGCCTCACTCTGCATGTAACGGGAGATTAATCATTGAACATATCCGCTGAGACACAACATTCTTCTATGATCTGTGACCCAAAACAACAGAAAAGAGAAACCAAGAGCTCTAGTCAATTCAAGAGTGCTCCATGCTGTGTGTACACTGGAGTGAATCAGTCCTAGGATCATTGTAGTGCTGCAGACCCAAGTTAAGGGAATTCAGTGATGTCACATTAACCTGAGGTCATTGATGTCATCTTGGTGCAGCTTTGGTCCCCAAACAAGTAAACAAAAGGTACTTTCTTTCATAGGGCTGAGCTAACATAGTTTGGCTTATTAACTCATGTTTATTATTGTCAGTGCACTTCAGTTCTAATTTTCACTTTTGAAAGTTTACTTCTCCATTGCTATGTTTTATTGGATTGTAAAAGGTTTCTACTATTAATTAGTGTATTTTTACACAACTTAGGGAAAATTCGGAGTGTTGTATATTTCAGAACATTCAGATACTCTCCTTACTTGAGCCTCTATAAAAAGTATTTAAGGGATCAAGGAGCTCAAATATGGGCTTTGGACCTTTTTCCTTCTCTCTCTCTTTCCTTCACTCTCCTTCCCTCCTCCCTGTCTTTATTCAGTGTTGGGAATTAAATCCAGGCCCTTGTACATGCTCAGCTTTCCCCTCAGCCTTGGATGTCCAAACTTGTGATAAACCTGGAATTTTGAATATTTCATTTAGTGACCTTATGTCACAACAACAAGCTACTAATCAGACCCTTTTCATCTGAAGTTCATGAAAAGAAACTCATAAATTAATCATTTGAGGTATGGTTTCACGTACAAATAAATTGAAAAGATAAAACATCTATGTCAGGGTCAATGGGATGATACAATTCACAGCTTGAAACCCCTAAGAAGAAATGTAAAAAACTGAGTTACACCTCACTAAGAGTAGGAGCCTCCCTCTGAAGCCTTGTATTCCATTTAGAGATGGGCTCTGTGTTGTCAAGAGGAATAGGACAGATAATCTTTTATTTTTAAAACAAGTCTTCAAGTGATAGAAGGACTTGGATGAAGTTCCCAAACTAGTGGAAAATCCTGAACTCGGAATAAGGATTTATGACCCTCATCGTGACATTCCTCTACTTCCTTTCATTCTTTTCCAACAACCAACTCCCTCTTTCCAAATATCAAACATATGGTCGCATTCCTTCAGTACTATGAGCCCCTTGCCAGTTCAAGAAAGATGAACCCTAGCGGTTTGCTCTGTTGGGAGGGGTGCCTACAGGGCTCCTGTGTAGAGTGGACTGTGCTGATGGATTTGGACAATGGCAACTGCAAAGGTTCATGTCTCCTAGCATATGGATACAAACAAAAGGCTTTTTTTTTTCCTGAATTACTTCCTGTATTTCTAAAAAAAAAAAAAAAAGTTTCTTCTATTTTTTTCTCTTCCAGGGGTGATCTTAGTAGTTCTATTAACAAACTCTTCTGAAGTATTTGTTACTGAGAAATCTCGCGCTCAGATTTTAAAGTACAAAATTGTCCGTGCTACTCTGATGAACCTAAACTGCATTCGAGAAAACATGTAAATGTAGTTACAAGAATGTGAAGAGGTCTTCACAGAAGGAAGTGAGCCAAGTCAGTGATTGTACTCTATTGAAGACTAGCTTCAAAGAGTAAATGCACATCTGCATCTGTTCCCAATGTTGGGAGCACGACTTAAAATACGAAAGTGCATTCGAAGTGAGATCCTGTTACATGTATCAGAGCATCAAGATGTGGTTTTCCTGAGGTTTTATATTGAATTAATTATTTTTATATAAAGTTTATATTTATTTTGGAAAGCTGCTGAAAATGTCTATTTTTCAAAATTAATTGAGCTTAAGATATGTGGCATTCAATTTGATTTTGTGAGAATCTCTGATGGGTTATTTTAAATCACACGTTTATTCAAAAACCCTAAGAATAAATTTGAACTAAGAATAAATTTGAAAGTAAGAGACTTAGTTTTGTAGTAAAATACTTACAGATAATGTACTTTTGAAACCTATCACTGAGTGTCTGGCATGCAGTTAACTTTTGTCACAATTGCTATGGTAATAAATATTATAAGCAAGTGTCAAGATGTGTGTTACTAATTGTTTTTATAAAAATTTAGTTCTCCTACTTCCCCAATATGTTTCCAAAGTCATAGATAATGCAGTGTAAATTATGACCAAATATTTTTATCTATCATTATGAACCCTAAGGAATGTTACAATTTTGAGAAATGAATGTTCTCAATTATTATAAATTTATTTTAGGATTATATTATCCATGGTATGGTAAATAACTCAGTATTATTTTAGAAAGCATTTGAAAATAAGAAGTAATCTTTATAGTTTATATAAGTAGGCATTGTAAAATTTTCATCTGTTGTTGGCCTTTGGTTGTGTCTTCCAAATTCCTATAAACATATACCTTGCTTTTGAAAAGGGTCTGAAAATGTTTTATTTTATTTTTTTTTATTGGTTGTTCAAAACATTACATAACTCATGACATATCATCTTTCATACATTTGATTCAAGTGGGTTATGAACTCCCATGAAAATGTTTTAGATACAATGCTGTCTTTTGGTTCTTATTTTCTGTTTTTTTTTTTAATGAGTCACATTACAGCTTTATTTAATAATTTGTAAATAGCCTTCTAGCAGAGTGACACATTCCTCATTACAGCAGAAAACAATAGGCTTAGAACTGTGTGGCCGGAGCTTACCTCCTGTGCAAAAGGTCAGGCTCCTGCTGTGTGGCAGAGGTCTGCAAGCTTCTTCTCTTCTCTTCTCTTCTCCTGGCCTTGTTCTCTGGCTGACTTTGAACCCTTCATTAACAGTAGACAAGAGAAGGGAATGATTTTCCCTGGACAGGATTGGCCCCTTCCCTCCTTCAAAAGGGAGGATTAAGAATCTTTCTGACAAATAATTTTTATATGAATTTAACATAGCTTCCATTCATCTGCCGAAATCAAGGACATGCTTATCAAACACAATAGTGGGCCAATGACTGTTCCTCTCTTCACACCAATTTCCTCACCATCTCTGATTTTTAAGCCATACTTCTCTATCTTTTGTGATGAACAGATAAAAAAACCACTCTCCATCATAGACCTGGGAGGCAGGCACTTTCTGCAGATGTGAAGATGTCTAAAGTAGCATCAGACACTACAGATTCAGCAGTTTGTTCTTGCAGAGTGAAGGCCTAGCATTTCGTTTTCCACCTTCCTTTGCTAAGAGAGTTCAGTAATTAAATCATGGTCTTTCCTTGGAGAAAACTTAGTGAAGCTAGTCAATCCCTAAAAAACAAATACCAAATGTCTTCTTTGATATAATGAGAGCAACTATGAACAGAGCAGGGAGGAAGAGCAGGAAGAAAAGACTAACATTAAACAGAGACATGAGATGGGATGGAAAGGGAGAGAAAAGGGAAATTGCATGGAAATGAAGGGAGACCCTCATTGCTATACAAAATTTCATATAAGAGGTTGTGAGGGGAATGGGAAAATAAACAAGGAGAGTAATGAATTACAGTAGATGGGGTAGAGAGAGAAGATGGGAGGGGAGGGGAGGGGGGATAGTAGGGGATAGGAAAGGTAGCAGAATACAACAATTACTAATTGGGCATTATGTAAAATTGTGGATGTATAACCAACGTGATTCTGCAATCTGCATTTGGGGTAAAATTGGGAGTTCATAACCCACTTCAATCTAATGTATGAAATATGATATGTCAAGAGCTTTGTAATGTTGTGAACAACCAATAAAAAATAAATAAATAAATAAATAAATTTTTTAAAAAGCTGAAAAAAAAGAGAAAACTTAATATTATATTAGAACCTCATCATTCACGAACCACTTGCAGAACCTACCTCTCTGTTGTATTTATAAAATTGTGAAGATGAATTAATTTGGACAGAAGGAGATGGCTGGCCATCCGCTGCCTTCTCTAAGTAACAGGTCATTTATTGTTCATAATCAGTAGTGCAAACAATAACTATGCTTTTCTATACTGCTCAGAGCTTCTCTCTTCTGAACCACTCTGCACATCTCATTGATCAATTTGGAACCAAAGGAGAATGCAGTGGCTTATCCAACCTAGAAACCTGTTATGCACATTTCCTTTAAAAACACCATTGGGAGCTGGGCGTGGTGATCCAGTCCTGTAATACCAGTAGGTCAGGAGGATCCTGAGTTCAAAGACAGCCTCAGCAATGGCGAAGTACTAAGCAATTCAGGGAGACCCTATCTCTAAATAAAATACAAAACAGGGCTAGGGATGTAGGATGTGGCTCAGTGGCTGAGTACCCCTGGGTTCAATCTCCAGTTAAAAAAAGAAAAAAAAAAAAGGGCTGGGTCTGGGGATATGGCTCAGTGGTAGAGTGGTCCTGAGTTCAATCCCCAGTACCAAACAACAACAACAAAAAAAAAAAAAAACACCATTGGAAATAAAAAAAAATCCTTTTTTGTTTTTTGCAGAAGTTCTATAAGAAAGCAAGTCTGAAGTCAGAGAAATATGAACACAGAGACATAGATATGCATACTTATGTACGCACAAGAGTTGGAATCAAAGAATCTTAGTGGATACATAGTTTGGGACTCAGGAAAAAGTTAAAAAGAGAAGATATGGAGATGGATTCAGCTATATATGTTGGAATTTTAGAGTTATGGCATGGATATGGTTCTTGGTATATACAAAAAAGGCGGGTAGGTGAGCAGAGAGAATGATAAATCCAGGCTACTAGAAAGAGGTTCTGTGTTCATGCATGAGTTAAAGATAACAGAGGCTAGTTTACAGGACAGTATGTTGTATTATGGGGTGGTCAATTAAAGAAGGATGGACTTGCATGGCCCAAGGGGAGAGGGTCTGTTATCAGGACACCTCTGGTATCCTGGACATCAGGAAACTCAAAGGATTCTTGAGTCCATCTGACAGATGCTGGTGACAGGCCAGTTGGATTTTCTCCAGAAGTGATATCAAGTTGAGTAGGTTAGTGATCAGGTGAGCTGGGCATGCTGGTAGGTGGTATGTAGCCCATTCCTTTCCCTAAAAACAGTACTTGAAAGCCTCGGTGAGATTATTTGGCAGAACTACTTGGAGCAGTCTTCCAGTCTGTCATCTTTTTTAGCAAAGTTATAATTTAGGATTCATGCAGGAATTCCATTCAACCACAGCCTTAACTGCAAGTGAATTATCCCCTCCCACCAGTAAAGTAGAACACTTTAGTGTTTTTAATCTGTTATCACTTTGGCCCAGTATGTTCTTTCAATCTCCAGGTCTCTGCATCCATTATAGGAGTCCAAGAAGAGCTGTAGGTTTTCTTGGTTGTTATCTTAGGCAATATGCAGCCTGTAGTTTGGAAGAAGATCTAGGTTGACCTTCAGCTATTTCTGAAACTCAAGGGCACTGAAATGTCTCTTGGGAAACATAATGGGGGATCAATCTTATTCTGTCCAAAGTGATAAGTCAAAATAATGTTCACAATATTGGTTGTTAAGCCTGAGAGAAATCTTCCCAGTCAATTCAGCATCCAGTACAAGAAGCAACATTAATAATGAGCACACAGCCTTTCCCTAGCTCTGGATAATTGACTGCAAATCTGTTAATGATGTAACCTAGAGCCCCAACTCCAGTCCCAGTGATGCTTTTCACACTGAAGTGGGTAAGAACAGGAAGCAGCATTTTAGCCATCTTATCAATCTTGGAGCACTTGTTCTCAGTTGGGAAATAGGGCACACCTTCCGGTAGGCCTAGGCATCCACATGACAGACAGTAAAGTCAAGTCATCTCTTACATATTCTCAGAGTTAAAGAATGAATTGAAACAAGAGTTATGACTGATATGCATAAAGATCATGACTTTAGTGTAATTGTTCTGTTTCCATTTAGAAAGTTTCTTATAAGGATGTGAACCATATCATGAATTGCATCTCCATCATGTTCTTAACAGTTGGAGTCCTTGAAGTTGGGAATGCCAGTACAGTGGCATTGGTAGTGGTGATCTATCTTTGAGGTTACCAATTATGTTACTCATTACCAGCTGTCTATAATTAAACCTATCTATTAGGTTTTTATCCAATTTGATTCCACTTTACAGATTTTAATTGTTTCTCAAAATGCTCTACTTCATCCTTATTTTCCTTTCTTTTAACGTGCTAATTTTAATCATTTTAACATGCTGTTTCCTGAACCATAGAATGTGTATTATTTCTGCATCTGCCTCCATTAATTATTTTATATCCCAATTTCCTATTTGATCAGATACTTAGTAATTTTTGTTTAATGTACTGGATATTACAAGTAATATGTTGTAGAGGCTCTGGATTGAGTTATGTCTCACAAAGAATGTTGAATTTTTTTTCTTCTAGGCACTCAAATTGTTGGTGGGTCACTTGGATCA